AGTTATAATAAGTAAATCAAAAACAAGGGTTGGCTGATTTTCAGCCCTATACTAGTTACAATCTCAGTTTTCCACCCCAAATTTTTACCTCTGAAAAAACTACCAAAAAAGAACTTTAATCTCAATAAAACTACACGTACTTTCGGATTTGCGTAAAACTACGCCTCCAATTGAACCGATCAATTAACCGATAATATTTAATCCGGTTTGACTTACCCAGAATTTTGACCAAAATTAATCGATTTTGACTCTATTTTACCCCAATTTTGACCCAAAAACAAATATAAAAGAAAAAAAATGTTTTCTCTATAAATAAATTTATTTATTTATTTATTTTTATAAACAATTAAAATTATAAATTATAACTTAATTTTATCAAAAAAAGATATAAAAAATAAACCTCTAAAGAATTATATAATAAAATTTTGGTATATACTTTTGGTAATATTACAAAAAAATAAAATAATAATTTTTTTTTGGCAATCATAATATATGACCTTTGAATTTTGTATATTGTGAAATTCAAAGTATATGCAAAACTCATTTATATATATCCTTAAACACCATAAATCAAAGTATATATTATGATATTTATAAATTCATTTTTCTTTATAGATTCAGTTTTTTTTTTATAAATTCAAAGGTCAGTTATATATATATATATATATTTATATATATATATAAGGTGGTTTTAAAAAGAAAAATGCGTTTGAATTTTATATATATATTATACCAAATTCATTTTATATATATATATATAAATGAATTTAATTTGTGGTGATATTATATACTTTGATTTGTGGTGATATTCAAAATATACATTTTATTTTTGGCAATCATTTTTCTTTTATAAATTCAAAAGTCATTTTTCTTTCTAAAAACACAATAAATATATATATATATATATATATATATATATATATATATATATATATATATATATATATAACCAACGTTTGAGTTTTAAAAAAGAAAAATGAATTTATAAGAAAATGATTGCCAAAAAGAAAATGTATATTTTGTTATATTACCAAAAGTTTATAACAAAATATAGCACAAAAAATAATTTTGGTATATTTTTTGCTGTTGTATATTTATATAAACAAAAGTATAGACCAAAAATTTGTTATATATATTTTTTTGTGGTATACTTTCATATTATTTTGTGGTATACTTTCATATTATTTTGTGGTATATTATTTTTTGGTAAAATTAATTTATAATTTATTATTTTTAATTGTTTATTAAAAATAAATAAATAAAAAATAATAATTTTATTTATAGAGAAGACATTTGTTTTCTTTTATATTTGTTTTTGGGTCAAAATTGGGTTAAAATGGAGTCAAAATTGATTAACTTTGGTCAAAATTCTGGGTAAATCAAACCGGATTAGATATTACCGGTTAACTGATCGGTTCAATTGGAGGCGTAGTTTTAAGAACAAATCCGAAAGTACGTGTAGTTTTATTGAGATTAAAGTTTTTTATGGTGGTTTTTTCAGAGACAAAAAGTTTGGGTTGAAAAGTTGAGATTGCAATTAGTATAAGGCTGAAAAATCAGTCAACCCAAATTATTATAAGTGAATGATCTTTAGAGCACATACAGGAAACAAAGAGTCATTCTTTTAATTTCATTCACTCTACTTGCATGATATAGAAGTCTATGAATTTGAACCTAATCTATGTGATTAGAATCATTGAACCTAATCGGTCGTTCTTTCACTGTACCATGAACAACCTCACCTTCAAAAAAACACAAAAACTTTTGTTTTGTCGTCGTCTTCTAAGTGCGGTAGTAGTGGACTAGTGGATAAGGATATATAAAAGAGGACACTTTATTCTTTATTCCATGTGTCACAGTAAAAAAACAAAATGTCCCCTTCTCACTTTGAAAGTATGTTATAGACCACTAAAAAACAACTCTAGCTTACAACCATAATTTTACTAAAATATTTTAATTTATACTATATAAACACATGCACATTCAAGCGGTCATTTCTACCATGACTATTTTTAAATTGAGTAATAATAATGATAATAATGATTCCATCATATGTAAACCAATAATAGACATCGATTTTCACGTATTATTTTAAAAAATATGGGTGTGATTTTGGAGTGTTACGTACCGTAAGAGGCCAAGACAGGTTTGCTTGAGTCCGGCGAGCAGGCCCGGTTCAAGTGGATAGGACAGAAGTGCTCAGGCCTAAGGTTCATCCAATTTTTAAAAAATATCAATAAAAAGGTCATTTAGTTTTAAAAATATCTAAAATAAGGCCCAAATTGAAAATTAGTATGAATCAGAACCCAAAAATTTAAAAAATTTGATAAAAAAATCCAAAAAAAATATATATTTTGGTAAAAAGCCCAAAAAAAGGCTCTTATAATTGTTGGGCCGGGCTGAGAAAGTGGCGGTGAAAGCTAAGTGAAGGTAAATCTTTGGATTCTCCACTGCGTTTACCTCTTTCCCCAACATCGCCGCAGTCAACAGCGAGGCCACCGCCACAGTTCCCACCGCTAAATCTCTTGAACTTCCCATTACCGCGTAGACCAACGGCTATGCTCCACAGAGAGAGAGAGAGGAAACGAAGCTAGTGATTTAAAGACAGTGGGAGGAGCGAATCTAGGAGGAAGAAGATGAAAACGCGTAAGTGTGGACGGACGAATAACACTTTCTTTCTTCTTTATTCTTCATGTTTACGATTCTTTTTTCTTTCTTTTTCTTTTATATATTCGATTCTTCCTCTTTTTTTTTTGTGTGTGGCCGAAAATTCGGTGCTTCATGTCCGGTGAAACTCCGGTGATAGCCTAATTAACCACCGCCTTTCTTTATTGAAAGATTCGTCTAGTTTCTTGTCTTAGCTTTTAAAAAACAAAAAAATCTCTTGTCTTATCTTCTGGCTCCTATGAGTTGATTTTATTCATAATTTATGATGCTCTGTTTTGTGGGGCTCTGTTTCGTTTCGTTTGTTGTTTACATGTTCTGTTTTTTTTTGGATTTTGAACCCTATGAGTTGATTAATAGTTAAAAGATAATAATCTCATATGAAATCCTAAATTGGATTATCGACTACTAATAGAACTATTACATGAAACGCTCGTTTTGAGAGATTGGTCTTGGCCCAATTTAAAATCAGGCCCGCTACATGCGTATTAGAATTAAAAATATTAGAAGACAATAATTCAGTTTTGACAAAAAAAAAAAAAAAAAGAAGACAAATAATTCAAAAGATAAGGTGACGTGGCGAAAATCAGAAATTTTGCGATATCTCTCAGTCTCTCGTCTTCTTCGTCTGAGCTATCAAACTCCAGTCAATGGCGATGATGACGACGACGACAACATTCTTCCATCCACTACTTCCTGCTAACACGTGCAAATCCGGAGCTGTATCTTCTTCCTTTGTCTCAGTTCCTCGTTCTTCGTCTCTTCAATTCCGCTCACTTGTTTCGGATTCTACGTCGATTTGTGGTCGACGTAAGTTCACCGGGAAAAACAGAAGAGTATCGATTACCGTTTCCGCCGCCGCAACAAATGAACCTCTCACCGTTCTCGTTACCGGCGCCGGTGGAAGAACAGGTTCTCTCTCTAATCAATCGTAGTTAGCTAGGAAGATTTTAGATTCTCTCTACAATGTGGTATTGTACAATTCCATAAGAAGACTGTTTAATGGTTATGAATTATGTAACAGGACAAATTGTGTATAAGAAATTGAAGGAGAGGTCAGATCGGTTTGTTGCGAGAGGTTTAGTGAGGACAAAGGAGAGTAAGGAGAAGATCAATGGAGAGGATGAAGTATTCATTGGAGATATCAGAGATCCTGCAGCCATTGCTCCTGCTGTTGAAGGGATTGATGCTTTGGTCATTCTTACGAGCGCTGTTCCGCAGATGAAGCCCGGTTTTGATCCTAGTAAAGGAGGAAGACCTGAGTTCTTCTTTGAAGATGGAGCTTATCCAGAACAGGTGAGAACTGCATTGATCTTAGTGTAGTGTTTTCTTGTTGATTTCTTCATTCTTCTTGGTTTTTGATTTCATGATTTTGTTTGCAGGTTGATTGGATTGGTCAGAAGAATCAGATAGACGCTGGTTTGTATTCATCATCTCTTTTGAGTGTTTTTGTATGTGCGTGTTAGCTGAGGTGCTGATGATGATGGATTGTCGTTGTTGAAACAGCTAAGGCAGCAGGAGTTAAGCAGATTGTGTTGGTTGGGTCGATGGGAGGAACAAACATTAATCACCCTCTCAATAGTATTGGCAATGCCAACATTCTGGTGAGACTCTTCTTTCTCTGTTTTTTTGAACACAGAGATGAGTTTCACAGCAAATGTTCAGAGTCTTTATGCAATTTGTAGGTTTGGAAGAGAAAGGCTGAGCAGTACTTGGCTGATTCC